GAAAGATTTTAACGACTTACCCAAATATATCACAGATGGTCTAGAAGTGCATTTTGTCAGTAATTACATGGATGTGTACAAAATAGTGTTTCCCAAAAGTTAAGACACCGCTTAGATTTTAAGTTTATTGTTATTAGACTAAACAAATCTTTACAAAACATTATAATGCAGAACTGACTGATAGTGTAAACTGCCTGTAAGTAATTTAATTATTTATACGATACCAATGTTAATTAAAATGTTTATTTTGTAAAAAATATATGTTTAGAAAACTAACTTATTTGTTGTTCTAAAATAACCTCCCTGTACAAAGGCTTCACAATAATACCATTTTAAAATAGGTTTTGGATTTAGTTGGAAGCGACTGAATAATTCATACAAAAAGTGTGAATGGCAGTAAAATTTGAATTGTTATTGCAGGGTGTGTTTAAAGCACAGAAATTTAATAGAGCCAAGACTTTTGAATATTTAACCTTCTTGTAGAATATCTCTTTATTTTGACAAGAAGACTTCTGAGAGCTCATTACAGTGTTTCATTTCGTTAGATGGTTTTATTTCACACTTCTTTTGAAATTGGTTCTGGTCCTTATCCATTATACATTGCAACAATTTTGATATGATTAGCAAATAGTTCTTTGTTAATGTTATTCTTTATATTTTTAAATAATTGTGAAAGATTTTAAATCTGTTTGTTTGTTAATTTTGAATAAAGAGTCCTTGACATAATATTCTTCTAAATTATTATTTAAATAGGAGTTTTACTCAAACAAAGATTGTTTTTAATAATAATTGTAGAAAACTGTCACACTAACCCGTAATTGGTTATGAAAAGTAAATTGAACTTTAAAATTCCTAAAGATCCCTATTTTTTTAATTAATCAAATGTGTGGCAGACTGAAATTAATGATTTTATAAAATTGTAAACATAGTGACTTTTTCCTTTTTTGAGACCAATCAGTATTTACTTCTCAATAGTCTCTCCTCCAACCTATTAAAGTCCGGGGACAGATCAATAGGTCAATATAGAATCAGAAAAAGGTCTATAGCAATCCTGAGTAAGTAAATTCATTCTGTGATAAATTTTTAAGATTTTGGTAGATATTTTTATTTTTAATAATAGAAAGAAAACTCTGGTCTCTTTTAGCAAATTTACTATATAGGGAATACACTATTTTTTTATAATAGGCTATTGTTGCATAAATGGCTCCCGTTCTACATACAATTTAGTTGAAATAGTCTCTCGTGTCTTCAGCTTGTTTCACAAAGTGTTCTACTGGAGGGGAGGGTAGGTAAGATTCTGTCAGCCATTTTAGTTTGTGTAAGCAGCGTCAAGTGAGGTCCTCTGGACAAGAGTTCTCATGTCTTTGTTACTGAATATTCAAAGCTGCATCTTCCCTTCACAAAACATCCAAACTCTGAACCCTTGGGAGTGAGTATAGATTGAATAAAGAACACATTTGGAAAGAAAAGCTCCAAAGGTCCACCTTTTTAAATAGCTTAGGAATAGTTGAATACCTAGGTAATTTTTCCCAATAGTTTACATTAAAAACTTATCCAAATAAGTAATTTTTTTGTATTAGTATTAACAAAATTTAGTTCCAACAAAAGTATTTTTTATGTAAAGTAAAATATTTTGTTGAAGTACCTATAACAAAAGGGCATTTAAACATTTTTAAATCATATTTTTTTCTTTATCTAAAGTATGACGCGTAGCTTGTACACCTATAGTGTTATAATAATGAAACAATTTGAATTGTTAATGTAAAGAAGATTTTTAAAAAATAGCCAGGATACTCAAAACAACTGATGGTAAGTCAAAAGACGAATAAACATTTGGGCAATACAGACAAAAAACACTTTAAATTGGTAAATTTGAATGTAAACAATTTAATTTGACACCCATTGGAGATAAATGAGTTTATCAAAGAGTTTATAGTTTAGTAGAACGTTAGTTATAAAAAACTGTATTACACAAAGTTTTATATTTTAAAAATATTTTTAATCTGTCGCAGAATCTATTTAAGAGTTTTAAGCACAATAAAGCTGAAGAGACTCTGTAACAGAACTCCTTTATGATGATAAAGCCATCAATACTGAGCTATGAGAGTACTTGAAACTTAAGACGGCCACTATTATGTTTATCTTAGCAACTAAAACTTGATGGTAATTTCAAACTTTGGAAGCCATGTTTTTTTAAATACTTTGTAAACTGTGTAGGCATTTTGTAACCTCTATTTTGTTTTGCGTACTAAGAACAAAGACGGATATCATTTTAGTTTTGTAAATTGTTTTGGATAAATTATGTTTTCATTTGTTGCTTGATAGTTATATTATTTATATGCTTTGCATATAAACATACAAAATAGTTATGTGATACAAACATGAACAAATTCAAGGTAATAAACTGAGAGGATGTAGGTAAACAATTTTTAAAGTGATAAATAAGATCAAAACTTTCTATGTAAACAGATGATTGTCTAGGTAGCTGTACGGTTGTAGGGTACAAACTAAAATAAAAATAGAGTAAACCCATAAGCAATGAGAAGTTTGAAATAATATTTATGTCACATGTTTTTCCAACAGAGCATAATGTCGTTTAAATGTGATTTCTGTTTACTCTACAGAACAGAATTTCTTCTGAAACAAATAAATCAATTTTGTTAACAAGATTCTTTCATATTTAGGTATAAATGCAAAATGGGCTTTTCTAAATCATCCAAGTGCATTACAAATCATTTATTTCACATTACTTCCCTCACTCAGAACCAAGTTAAAAACACTATGTTAGATATTTAAAGTATTATTTCCTACTTAAAAAAAAATCTTTTACAGTACACAATAAAATACAATACAATACAATATTCTTTATTGTTCATTCGTTAAGAATTACAATAGTGTCAATACAATAGTGACAATAGTATGTGTTAATTTCCATAATTTTCGTAAAATTCCTTTATTGTGTAGAAGGGTCTTGCGATTAGCCACTTCTTCAACTCCTGGTGTAGCTTGTTGCCAGTCAGGTCTCTCAGGTAGTCAGGTAGATGGTTCCTCAGTTTGCAGCCGGTGTAGGAAGGTTTTTTTTTCCAAAGAGTTGTTCGGTGAACTGGTAAGGCAAATTTGGAGCCATGACGGGTGTTGTAGTGGTGCAGGTCTTGGTTTCTTGGGGGGTTTATTTCATCCACATACTTTATGGTTTCAAGTATGTAGAGAGACACCACTGTGAGGATTCCTAGGTTTGCGAATGCTAGTCTGCAAGTCTGAGGTGGGACAAGGTTGGCGAGGGCTCTTATGGCTTTCTTTTGAAGAACAATGATTCAATTAATATTTTTTGTTGAAGTTCCTCCCCACACTGTCAAGCCATATCTAATATGCGACTCTGCCAGTGCAAAGTAAGCTGTTTTGGCCACAGAGAGTCCTAAGTAGTTTATTCTTCTGAGAACATATATTCCGGCACTGATTTTTTTTGCTTAGGTGGTTGATGTGCTCTTTCCATGTTAGTTTGTTATCAAGGATAACACCGAGAAATTTTGTAAGGTTTTCTATTGTTACATCCTCTAATTGAGGGACTATGTCTTTTTTCTTACTGAAATTCAGAGTTGTAGTTTTTCCTTCTCAATATTTCCTTCTCATGCTGGCAATTTTTCAAGCATTTAAACACCTTTTTCCTTAGGATTACTTTCTGCCTACTGGAAAGATATTTTTTTAGATAGGAAATTCAAGTATAAGTGTAAATAAAAAGATGAAGGAAGGGGAATTGGCAAATGCATATTTGGAGGATAACCTAATCCTAAGTTTTGTTTTTACTAACAAAAAAAGTGTAAACAAGAATTTTCACTTTGGTAACATCTCAAACTAGGGAGAAAGTCTTTTTATATTATTTCTTTTTAATTTCAATTCACCATGTATTCTTCACATTTGCATTTTAACTGCACAAAAAATCACTTTTGAAAATTATAATTAATATCACACTGGGAGAACTACTCGTTTAATGATTTCAAATTTAAGTACCCATTGTAATATTAGAACAAAGTAATTTTCCTACTCCGCAAGCTAAACGTAATTTACCGAGATTTAATATAAAACAACCCTAGGGTTAATACTCCCTTAGAGTAACAAGTTTTCGCAGAATGGAATATTCTGGAAAATCTCTCTCTCTTAGTTCATCATTCTCGTTAAAGAAATGGAAAGAGCCATTTATTAATTCATTTTTGAATTTTTTGAGCTATCCCCAAAGTATGAATATATTAATTGGTAAATTATGTTTAACTCTCAAATAATAAGCTTTTTTAAAAGAATGAAAAGTAAATGTTAAATTTACTTTTTAAAATATTGTAGGAAACTATGACAAAAAGTATGTCTACAAATATTTGATATAAAAAAACATAGTAGCCTATATTTGGTCAATCGAGAAACAATTAAGTGAAACTCTACCTAGAAAAATTGAGTTAGTGATAAAGTTAATTAAGGTTGCCAGGTGGGTGGCCACTTACTGTGGCAATTTTAGATTAATTTAGGATAACTATGAAACAGCACTTGATAGAATGTATAAATATCTTTTTCCGCATATATCTTTCCCAACTCTTTGTTTAAATCGATATCTGATACAACAAAGTGAATTCCAACATGTTTTCTAAGATTTTTACAGTACTCACAATAAATTTGGATTTTAATAAAATTGTAAACAATTGTCATATTATTAAAAAAACTAAAAAAACAATCAGCAAATACAAAATTGTTAAGAATAATAGACTAGACAAACCCACTCATAGCTTTTTACAGAAAAAAATTCTGATAAGCTGTAAACCAGTCGGATATTTATGTACTAGTAATGTAAAGCCGCTTTTACTCGAGGCTATTTGGTGGGCAGGTTACCTTGCCTCAGGTAACTTGAAATACATTAGAGGCAAGTAACCTGCCCTGTAACCTGCCTGCTCTACTGGCCGCGTGTAAATGCAGCTAAAGGGATTTAAATAGACCAGTAAGATTTTCAAATAGTTTATTGCGACTAGAGAAATTTACATGAACATCATCACAGCTGCCATTTAAAGAAACAACCAAACAATCAAACTATTTAACAACACACAATTTACATTCGACAGAACGATCATTCAATACAATGAAACTATCAAAATTCCATATAAATAGAATACAAAGTAATCATGATAAAGTATGAAAAAATTCACTTGTGTCTTATGCAAATTAAATACAATCCACCAAATATTTTTATTCAATTTAATTTTAAAATAAAAGATATTTTGATTTTTTTTTAGGATTTCAGGTAAATGATAAACAAAAACATTATCTCTATATTTTTTTGGTATAGCGATTTGTTTCATTTTCAATTTTAATCAATTATTAATCTTACTAACAACAATAATTCAAGTATTTAGAATTCTCTTATTGATTAGACTTTTTTAACTAACCTTTGATTGTTTAAGTTCGCCATCATTTGCTAATTGCTACATCAACTCTGGTACATATTTGGGAAAAATAATTTTTAAGTTATTGTCACTGATTTGCTACTGAATAGAGAAAACAATGAAGTATAACATTATACTAAGTTTTTAAATTATAAAGGAAGAAATCAAGAGATTGATTAAGGATTTATATCTAATGGATTACATGTTACATATCATACAAATGTAAATTTATTAAGTTGTTTTAAATTCAGTTTTTTGTTAGTAACATCAAATGAAAGGTAAATTTGGTCTATGGTGAATTATTCAATGGTAAACTTAAAAATAAAATCAAAAGTACTAATATAGTTTTTGAAATAACTTGAAAACAAACCCTTATGCACAAAAGTATATATGTTCGTATAAAAATTAAGATAAAAAAATGCTTATCAAACGGGAAAACACATCATTAAAAGACACTTTACAACGATTCTGTAGAGAAATAAGAATATATGGAATGCTGATACTCATAAGATCAGTTGTTAAAAGAGAAATCAACTCAGAAAACAATTGTATAGTATTGCTCTAGGTAATGAGATTTGGATAGTTATTTACAATCTAACTTTAGTGTATTTATAGGAACAATTTGCGTGCATCATCTTAAAGACAGATCCCAAGACAAATTAATATTTAAAAAATAAATAAATTGCAATCTGGGTTTTGAAAGGCTGAATTGTTAGCAATATTAAAATTGCAATGATAAGTCTGTGCTTAACTAATGCTTCATTACAATATTCTGTGCAAATAAATTTATCTTAAATGTTGAATGTTTTCAAAGCTTGTCTATTTCAAAGAGAGGAAACAAAAGTACTTTTAAATTAAATGCAAGGCTTGAACTAAGATACAAAAAGGATACCAGTAAACTTCAATTTTTGCCAGATATACCTAGCTAAAAACAACAGTTCATAACTTCAACAAGAAATGTGTCAGTCTTACGAAGAAATTTTCATGATTAACATATTTACAACAACAGTAAACGTTAGGTCTAATTCTTCATAAAATATCAACACTTTATCCTTTATCCTTCCAGCCAAAGTAAACTTGTGTGCCATTCTTGGCAATAAACATCTTACACACTGAGGGTGTAGATTTGATAACTGAATAAATAATACAATATGAAAAAAACCCCAAAGGGATAAAAATAATCAGATTTTAAATTCTCACATTTCTTATTCCTAGATTCATAGAGTCTAAACAATTACGAAACTCATCACAAACAACTACAACTTCTTACTTTTCTGCAACTTTCTATCTATATACATTTGTGCCTTGTTTAAACATCGTGATCTTCTTAAACTGAAATGGCTCTCATCAAACATTTAAAGAAAAAAATTTTAAAAGTACTGTATAAGTAAAAAAATTAATGATTTTCAGAAACATACATCATAATATGATGTATGTTATTATGTATATTATACAATGCAATCTCATAAAGCTTACTTTGGTGGGAATGTAGAATGATAGGTATCATTAAATTATAAAAGCCTCATTTTCTTATGAATTGGTCTATTGCACAGTAAGCCCATGGTATAAACAAAAGCGGTAACCAAAGATTAATTATTATTAGTTTTAACTACTCTATAAGCATATGACTAGTCGAATGGTAACCAAACATTAAACATAGGCGTCAGGATTAATAATTTACAGCCAAATGCGATGTACATGATAAATTGATGTCAAAATTAAGTGTTAACCACTTGCCTTGTCCCGAACCCATGCAAGCACAGAAAAAAGTAAGTATAGTCCTTTTTAAGAGATAAGTAGAAATACACTTCAACACTCATGGACCGATTTACTAATTAACAGCACATTCCTCTATTTACATCTTCCACAAATCTAAGGACATTCTGAGCAGTAACATTCAAGAGATCAAAACATCGACACAAATTTCATAACTGTCATTTTTATAGTTAGTCTGTACAGTCGAAAAATAGATTATGCACAATACCTCTCTCAGGCACAGTTCATAAATTTTATTTACACTTAAAACACTTTGCTGCCATGATATTAAAAATATACTCTTTCTTCTTTGTGATTGGCCGCACAGATTCTTGTGTGGAACAAACATCTCAAACATTACTCGCTCACCTGAATATGCTCTTTATCCGTTCAGTAGCAATTTTGAAAATTCTATTCATAAAATCTATCAATTCTTGAAATTTAGATTTAGTGACATGAAAAAAATAAGAATAGAGCAAGTTTCCCCAACATTATTAAAAAATGTCTAAGAGGCGGTTTGGGAGCTTGGTATATTAGCGCTAGTCCGCGCCTAAGAACCGGATAAGTTGTGAATTTCTAATCGCAAAAGTATTTCCAGTTTTTCTTAATCTTTTTGAATCTCTTTTTAAAAATAAAATAACATTCAAGAAAAAAACTTTTTTTATACATATTTTTTTTCTCTCTGGAAGCCGACATGTGATATGATTGTGAAACGGCCGATGTCGGCTCACAGTCGACAAGAGAGTGGAAAGGGTTAAGTACTGTACTTTGAAGTGAACTGATTTCTAAAAGAATTAGCACAATTCTTATCTTACAAATCCAGAATATTTTCACGATGAATATTAAAATCATCAGGTCCAAAAAAGACAACAATTGACACTCAGACAGAAATCCAAAATTGCTACTTAAACTCTTAAACTTTCCTCCTAATTATCTTTTATCGTCATTTACTTGTTTCTATTGAGCATCACTCTATTTACCTTAACCTAATATCGAGTTTTGAGATAAGATGCAAATTTCTTAAACTCAAAATTTCATCGGAGAAATGTTTACTCCACAACGAGACATCTTGGCAGGTGTTCTCTGATGTATTCAAATAGTTCTCTAGACGCCCCTGGACAGTTGGTCAGCTCCAGCTCCTGAAGATGCCTCAGCTGTATGAGGCTAGACAGTCCACTGGACGTCAGGAGTGGACAGCCTGCAAAACAAGCATAACTAAAAGTTAGCCTTCAAGAGGTAGTCAAATGTCAAGAGTAGTAAATGTTCTAGTATCATAAAGTTTACAAAGTGACAGAAGGTTAAAAAAAGGCAAACATACAAAACATATTTCTTGTTTAGCTTCCCCAAAGGGAAAGAGGAGATGGGGTGCTGGGAGTGGAAAATATTCTAATCCATAATATTGCAAAGTGGTAGGACGTTAGAAGTGTTATAATATATGTATATATATATATACACTACTAAGTTACATGAGTAATCTAGCAAGTTATAAGGTTGGACAAACTGATTACATATTTGACTTGTATTTTTTGTAGCCTAGGCCTACTTGACAATTTCCGTTTTCTCGTCCTCATGTAATGCAATGTGACCGTGTATGATGTAACTTTAACTTTGAGTTTTTATCTGAATAAATCTTGTATTTAACATCTTTGTGGTTTTCACTACCCCACGTGCCCAACAGGTTATGGGCCCAGGGACGTATTAAATCAATGAGTGTAAGGATGGTAGTGAAAACTGTGTCTTAACTTAGTTGTTGATAGGTCTAACCTAAAAACTTTGTGTGGTGATTGGTGAACGTTAATATTTCACCATGGCTACGTCTGGGACTTCTGATTCTACTACAACTACTTGTGTGAGTCTTTCCACTGCCGTGCCTAACATAGAAAAATTGGAAGGTCAGCAAAATTATGGCAGTTGGAAATTCTCTATGAAGATGTACCTCATGCTTGAAGGACTTTTCGGTTATGTCGACGGGACTATCTCTCCCTCTACTTCGAATGACACGGTGCGTGATCAAAGTGCTTTAGCTAAAATTTGCTTATCAGTGAAACCTAATTGCTTCATCCACGTCCAAAATGCCAAAACAGCCAAAGAAGCTTGGGACAACTTGAAGACAGCTTATGAAGGTCATAGTATGGCATCTGTTTTTGAAATGACTCGTAGGCTATTTAACACTAAACAAGATAACTTCTCTTCAATGGAAAGCTACCTCACAGACATCCTCGAAACAGCTCAAAAACTAACTGATATGGGTGAGCCTATAGAAGACAAATGGATTGCTTTCATCATGATGAATGGTGTATCAGATGATTATGAAGCCTTAATTTCTTCAATTAATCAACAGTCTAAAGACAAAATCAAGTCTGAAGAGGTGAAATCAATCTTGTTGAGTGAGAATGAACGACGTCGAGTGAGATCTGGAGAGTGTTCAAGTTCTTCAGTGCTGTTGGCAAGTTCTAAGAAAAATTCTGGGAACTTTAAAATGAACAAGACAAAGAAGATTTATTGTTATAATTGTGGAGATCCCTCACACAAAAGGCCTAACTGTCCAAAACTGAACAAGGATAGTGATCCAAAGCCTAACAAAAATTCTTCAGATAAGCACAAGAATAGGCCTCCTGATAAATGTAATAGGCCTAAGCCTAATCCGAGGACACTAATGACTTCTGCTCTATTATCGAAGACAAATCAGTCCGACTGGATAATCGACAGCGGGGCGACCAACCACATGGCATGTGAGAAGAACAACTTTATTGACCTGGAGGATCATCGCAGTACGCAGATTTCGGTGGCCAACGATATGAAAATTTCATCTCATGGTGTTGGTGATGTGATGTTTGATATCTCAATTAATCAGTGTAAAGAATCTGTTTTAGTGAAAGATGTGATGTATGTTCCAGAATTATCGAACAATCTTCTATCTGTAAGTAAGATAACTGATAAGGGTCTTGTAGTTGTTTTTGATGATAAGAATTGTACAGTTTACAGTAAAAGTAATTTTAAAATTTCTGGTAGCATTGAAGTAACAGGTTCTAGAAGTGAGGGCCTGTATGTCATTGACAAACCCTCATCAGAAAGAGCAATGACGGTAGATAGCCTAAGTAAACATGATTTATGGCATAAGCGTCTTGGCCATCTTTCTCGTAAAGGTATGAGGCTGCTACAAAATGGGCTTGTTAGCGAAATCGATTTTGGCAATGACAATGCAAATGTATGTGTAACATGTCTTGAAGGTAAACAAACAATTAAACCTTTTCGGAACAAGGGTAAACGTGCAGTGGCTAAATTAGAATTAGTTCACTCTGATGTGTGCGGCCCGATGGATGTTCCATCATGGGGAGGTGCTAGATATTGCCTCATCTTTGTTGATGATTTTACTAGAAAAGTTTTTGGCTATATGATCAAAGCTAAAAGTGAAGTTTTTTCTAAGTTTTTAGAATTTAAAGCTTTAGTTGAAAATCAAACAGGTAATAAAATAAAATGCTTGAGAACTGACAATGGTGGTGAATACACCAGTAATGCACTGGAAAACTATCTTAAAGCTCAGGGTATCCGCCATCAGACCACCGTACCCTACACGCCGCAGCAGAATGGTGTGGCTGAACGCACTAACCGTACTTTACTAGAGAAAGTGCGGTGTATGCTCTTTGAATCAAACTTAGATAAGAGATTTTGGGCAGAAGCCATGAATACTGCTATTTACTTGAAAAACTTGTCTCCAACTGCTGCTGTGTGTGATACGGTACCTGAAGGTGCATGGCGAGGTGAGAAAGTTGATATTTCTAACCTGCGTATTTTTGGTTCAAAAGCGCAAGTACACATTCCTAAAGAGAAGCGAAGTAAACTAGACAAACGGTCTGAGTCACTGATTTTTGTGGGTTACTGTACTGACACCAAAGGGTATCGTCTCATATCACAAGATGATCCGAAAAATATTGTTGTTGCTAGGAATGTGGAATTTATTGAATCGAGTATCTTAAAACCTAACGTAATTGCTGATGAATCTACTAAACCTAATTTAAATGATATTAGGCCCAAACAGATAAACACAGATGTGTCTGATTTTTCTCCTTTTTCACAAATCAATGTACCTGTCACTGGTAGGGCAAGTAAGAATCAACCTACAACTGTTGGTATTGTTCCAAACGAGGTTGAGGAATCAAATTCTGATTCATCAGATGAATCATTTGTAACAAATAATGATACTGGTAATGAATCTTTTGTTAGTAATGATAGTAGGCCCTTAGATGAGTCCTCAAGTGAGGAAATGATAGGCCTAGATGTTAATGAATTAGGTGTTGAGAAAAGGTATCCCACTCGTGTACGTAAACCTAAGCGTTCCGATGATTTTGAATACGCTTTTTTATCTGTAGGACCTAATGATCCCAAAAATTTTGATGAAGCATGTAATCGTACAGATAGTGTTCATTGGAAACGTGCTATGCAAGAAGAGATTGATGCTTTAAGTAGTAACCTTACTTGGGAATTAGTTGATAGGCCTCCAGAATCTAATGTTGTAAAGTGTAAATGGGTTTACAAATTGAAAAGAGGAGTTGATGGATCAAAAAGACATAAAGCTAGATTAGTCGCTAAGGGGTTTAGTCAAATACCAGGTCAAGACTATGACCAGACTTTTGCTCCAGTAGTTAAGTTATCTTCACTTAGAATTCTTTTTGGTCTAGCCGCTGAGTTAGATTTAGAAATAGATCATGTAGATATTACAACAGCATTTCTGAATGGTAATCTAAATGAAGAAATATTTATGGAACAACCCGAAGGTTTTGTTAAGGAGGGTGATGAAGGGAAAGTTTGTAGTCTTAAGAAAGCATTATATGGGCTTAAGCAGGCAGCTCGATGCTGGAACGATAAAATTCATTCCTTTCTCGAATCACAGAACTTTTGTCAATCTGAGTATGATCCGTGTATATATATTAAGAAGTCTAATGATGTTCTTATTGTTATTGGTTTACATGTTGATGATTTTTATATATTTTCAAACTCAGTTGATGAAACGCGTAAACTTAAGTTTGCAATTGCTAACTCTTTCAAGATGAGAGATCTTGGTGCTATTAAAGAGTGCCTTGGCATGAGGGTAACTAGAAATAGGATGAAAGGGTCAATTAAATTAGACCAGGAATCTTATGTCAAAGATATTATTGATAAATTTAAGATGAGTGAGTGTAATTCTGTTACTACCCCTGTTTGTGTGTCACAGAAATTGTACAAATCCGAGACACCTAATGAAAATGGTCTTTATCAAAAACTAATTGGTGCCTTAATGTATGTATCGGTATGTACACGCCCTGATATAAGTTATGCTGTAAGCTATTTAAGCCAATTTAACAGCTGTAATGACGACAAGCATTTAGTTGCTGCTAAAAGAGTAATACGCTACTTAAAGGGATCTTTAGATTTGGGTCTATGCTATCATAAAGGGGAATGTTTATTGCAAGGCTTTGCTGATGCAGATTTTGCAAATTGTGTAATTGATAGGGGATCTTATACTGGTTATGTATTTAAATTTGGTGGTGCTGCTGTAAGTTGGTGTTCTAAGAAACAGCGTTCCAAAAGTCTTGCTGATAGTTCAACATTTGCTGAGTATGTAGCAATCAGCGAGTGTGGTAAAGAAGGTATTTATCTTCAGGGTCTATTGGCTGAGCTATACAAATGTCCTCTACCTTTGACTATTTTTAATGACAACCAAAGTGCAAACAAACTGTGTCACAATCAAGGCCATAACCGCAGTAAGCACATAGATGTAAAGTACCATCAAATCAGACATTGGATCAAACAAAATTTGATTGCTGTAGAGTACTTATCTGGTGATAAAATGATAGCTGACATGCTTACAAAAGGTTTAAACGCACCTAAACATAATCTGTGTGTTAATGGTGTAGGTTTAAATGCATAATCTGTTTTGTTTTAAATTCATGAATCATGTGACTCTTGCTAGATTAAGTGAGGGTGTTATAATATATGTATATATATATATACACTACTAAGTTACATGAGTAATCTAGCAAGTTATAAGGTTGGACAAACTGATTACATATTTGACTTGTATTTTTTGTAGCCTAGGCCTACTTGACAATTTCCGTTTTCTCGTCCTCATGTAATGCAATGTGACCGTGTATGATGTAACTTTAACTTTGAGTTTTTATCTGAATAAATCTTGTATTTAACATCTTTGTGGTTTTCACT